GGAAGTAGAAAGACCAGGAAGAAGGAGAGAGAAGGGGGAAGAGAGAGGAGGGAAGGAGACTGTATTTGGCAGCTACAGTCACAGTGGTCAACAGTCATTGTGAGAGAGGCTTGCAATGTCCTCTGCAACTTCCAGCTCCTCTTTGCCCAGTGGCCTGGCCGTCCTGACAACTTTCCCAGATGTGCTCTTCATTCCTGAATTTGTGAGTACTGGCTTTTCCCTGGGGGAGGGCAGATGTTGCCTGTGGGGCATCCAACACACTTCATGCTGTAGGTGTCTGAGGGGTGAGGCTTGACACAAAGCATATGATTCAGGAGCCACAAGGGTCTGGGGACAGCTCCTGGTGCTTAGCTCACCCTCAAAGAAAACCACAAGCCCTGAGCTGGGGCTCTGAAATTCTCCTTCAGTCTGCAGGGGATTTTTGTGGTGAGCACCTGAACGCCTTTTGTAATTTCCTGCCTAACAAAGTTGAAGGGGTTGCAGGTGGGTTTAAACTAGGTTGCCAAATTGAGCCAGGTAATTATTTGGAAGATGATTTTAGCAGCTACTACAGTGCTTGCTTAAAACAGGGGGTAAAAGCTAGCTGAGGTAATCATTTGTAGCAGCAGCAAAGAGCCTAGGCTGCCGAAGCTGTACGGCTCCGCTGCAGCGTCCCCGAGCTGGAGGTACCAAGTGCTAGACCTGGGTGTGTGGGCAACAGTGGGAGAGCAAAGGGTGAGCAAACACCTTGTAACTTCTTCATGTGTTGTCATTTCACTGAGTGAGAGAAAGTCATAATTTTAATGGACTTAGCACAAGTGATTAAAAGCAGTTGCTGTGAGCACTGACTAAAAGATGGAAAGTTTCAGCTAGAACCTTTTTCTCCGTGTCCTCTGCCCCAACTCATGAAATGTGTGCTTCTCACAACAGTTTGAGAGGCTTTTTCCAAAGCCTGAGCACCGTCATCCAGCATTGAGGGGTTTGGCTGAGTGTTGTAGGATGGCATTCGGTTTATTTAATGCTAAAAACTTCAACTTTGCCATCTGGAACCAAATCCTTTCCTGTCACCCAACTCAGTCCGCACTCCTGGGATTTACAGCATTTACTTCGCTCTCTAAATGATAGCAGTCTAGCAAAGAGGAATTGGGTTCAAGTAGGTATTACTGATATGTAGAGAAAGGCTTAGCTTCAGCTCCTCCAGATATGCTCTGTGGATTTGGTCTCTGTGCCCAGGCCCTGAGAGTAAGGTCCAGGTTTCCTGCAGCTGCATGAAGGAAGGTGTAAAGTTCCTGTGGCAGTTTTGGCTGGGCAGACCCTTATCAGCCACCCCTGCCACTGGGCTGTGTTAGTTCTGGTGCCGAGTGTCCTTTTGGCCTCAGCATGCTTATGGTACCGGCTGTGCCTTGAACTGTTTGCTTGTAATTCCTGTCTCTAGGGGATTTGGCAAGGTGTCTTGCTTAATGAGACAAAAATAAGCACCCTATCTTTTGGTTTGGGTAAGATCTGGAAATGTGCATCCTAAAGGCTCAGGAATCACTAGGAGAGAGGAATGCTGCACAACCAGATTTCTCCATCTGTGGAGGTGCAGGACTCTAGGTTGTGTAGCTGTATTACCTCTGCTGTGTACAAAGGAGGCAGCTGCCTTGAATCACAGCATTCAGAAGGCTAAAGAGTTTTTTTTAATCCTTGGTGGAATCTGAGGTTGCCTACAGTCGGTTAATATGGTAACTACAGAAAAAAAAGGCATTTCAAATGATAAGACAGTTGCAAAAATGCCATAAGATCAGGACTGCAGCTCAGATTATTGCTACGTCTGGATGTGCTGAGTAAGTACTACCATTTTTATTCTGTTAGGTTTAGTTTAATTCTTGTAATTATTTTATATGAAGAGCTTTCTGCATATGTGGATAGCCAGGCCTATGTGGCAAAGGTGAAACAAGCAGAAAAATACCTGTTTCCTTTGTAAAAGGTTATTTAAAAGATAACTTTTTCTTAGACTGATGTGGGTTGTTATTGAAAGATTGTTGACCCTTTCCTCATTTTATGAGTCTTCTGAAGAGCAGCACCATAAAACCAAAGTCAGTAATCAAACCATGTCAAACATACCTGAGTGAGAAATCACATCCTGCAGAAAGGAGAGGGAGTGGTAACAAATAAGAAGTGATACTTTTTCCACTAACCTCATATCTCTTGTGTTGTGTTTTAATAGAGAAACTGTAAGGTTTTCTCCAGAATCTTTAGTTGCAAGACACTCATTGTCACCACATGAGTTATTATGTAAGGGATTAGTGCTCAAGTGTCAGTCTTTGGTTGTTACAAGAGGCATCAAAACAGCAGCAGGTTGGTAGATGATTTTCACCCAGGTATTTGCAAGATCTCAACCACATAACTGATTTAAAGTATCAATGAACTTCTCTAAAAACATGAGGTGACAGAAATGATCTGACATTTACTGCATATCGTAAATCAGACACCACTTGCAGCTCAAATGCTCTGCAGCATTGGATATCATGCTCTCATTCTCTTGTGTAGGAATCTGCTGGTGGAGAAAGGATGGAGTCTAGATATAGCTGTCCCTGTGTTCCCCACCAGAAAACCCATAGCAAACTCCCAAGGCTGGCTGAGAAGGATGGAGTCCCACCTGCTACCTGACCTTGCACAGCTTTGGTGCAGCCAATGAAGAATGGCCTAAATAGCTGGAACAGCAATACAAGCACCCCTTTCCCAGGAGGAGCTGGGATCCTCAGCCAAGTTTGCCCTGTCTCAGAGAGTAAAACTGGCCATACTACCTCTCTTCAGGCTGTTCTCTCTCCTTTCAGGGCTACATTTGCACATGGCCTTGATGAGGCCACATGTCTGTGGTGGTTGTGCAGGTGAGCTGCATTTGACACTACTCCTTTCAGGCATCTGGGGCTAAGCAAATGGGCCCTTCTGAAATAAGCTTCCTTGTTCGTTGAAACCAGCCTTCAAAAATGTCTGAACCAGACTCCTGAGCACACTGATGTGGGAAAGGCATGAATGGCAGTGACACCAGGAAGCAGGGCTACAGCAAGGGGTTGTTTTTGGTTTGTTTTTTTTTGTCAAGATCAGAGGCGGATGCTCCCAGCTAAATGCCCAGTTTCAAGTGGAGGCTGGGAAGAACTTAAAGGTATCACTGGACTATTGCCATGTGCAGTGCTAATGCCAGAAGCATGCATGCCCAATTTATCACATGCTTGCTCTCTCTTCCACTTCCACTTGCAGGTCTTTGGGGGCCTTGTCTGGATCCTGGTGGCATCCTCAAGGGTCCCAGAAGCCATGCTGCAAGGCTGGGTGATGTTCGTCTCTGTGTTCTGCTTCGTCATGTCCACCAGCCTCCTGTGTCTCTACATCTGTGGGGTGCATGGGGGCAGCAGCTCCTGGGTCACCTTGGTAAGTGGATGTGACAAACCTCAGGGCCTTTCCCCTCCCAGTTATCACTAATGGACATTTGTTTCCCTTGCTGCTACTGTAAGCCAAACTGCAGGCTGGGGCTTGTTTGTGTGGGTTTCTTTCCCCCCCCTTTGCAGTGTGCTCCCTCCTTGGAAATGACTGTGTGATCCTGGTTTCTTAGGACGCTATCTGCCAGGGAACAGCAGCTCTGTTCTATCTCAGTGCTGCTGTGTTGGAAGCCGTCTACACCTATGGCATCGGCTTGATTGTCAGCCCTCTGATAATGACCATCTACCAGGAGAACATTGCTGCTGTGGTGAGTGCCTGGCAAGTAGAGAAAGGAAGGCGAGGAGGTGACAGTGGAGTTGCCTTAAGCACAAATCTTTACTTGCACCAACCATTCAGGGAGGGAGGAGAGAAACTGTCCCAGTCCTAGCACACATGAATGTCTCCAAACATGCAAGAGTCAATAGAAATATAATGCATGACGAGGTGTTTGCTCAGTGCAGGAACTCACGGCATGTAATAAAAAGTTAACTGGCTGATGTGTTTTTCCATTGTAGGTATTTGCATTCTTAGCTACCCTGATGTACGTGATTCATGAAGTGTTCTCACTCCTGAGATGGAAATCATCTTAAGAGCCTTCCCTCACAAGTGTGTCTTTTGGTCATCCCATGAACATGAAAGGGTTTTGTTTTGTAATGTATATACTATAAACAAGCAGCTTTTTGTGTGGGACCATGGCAATAAAGAGCCTGCCAGAGAAAGCTATATCCTGATACTATCTGTTTCCCTTCAGTCTCTTCTGAGTTTGATGCTGGTAACTGGAGACAAATGGAAAAGCCTCCAGCTTTAAAAAAAAAGTAATGTAGTTGGGTTCAAAGTCCTAAAACCTCCTTGAACCACACCTTTATGCCTCCAGGGTTTTTACTGCTATCAGGAAGCCTGAACAACCAGCAGTAAGGAGCATGAGTATGAAACCAGCTCATTTTAATTGTTGCCCATCCATGTAAGCCTGTTTCCCTCCCTAAACCTGCTGTACCTAACAAACATTTTCATACAGTTTCTGGAAATGCCATCTCTGACTTTTGATGAGAGACAAGGACAATATTTAACTTGCTGCAGGGGCAATATGACTTGTTACAACCGCTGAAGGGTGCAATTATGGAATTATGGGGAACAACCTTAACGCCAAGAATTACCAGTGTCATTATTCCCCCCACAAAATACAACTTACAATGTGCACAGTAGACCATAACAGAATTATGTGGATGATTGGAATAACATCTTGAATAAGCAGGGCCAATCAACTTGTCATTGGTGCATGGCTGCTCTTGCATACACCAGCACGATGTTGCTTATAAAGAAGGGTTTGCTGTGATTTTGTAAATAGACATAAGACATTGCTGCTATTTTCCCTTTGCTGCACACAGGTACAGAGCCCTTTACAGCCTCAGGAGCACTGCACTTTAGCAGGGAGAAGGCACAGACTTGGGCATGAATGAAGGGGCTTTTCTGTCAAGGGGAGTCTGTGGGGCCTTGCAGCCAGGGGCAGGGGCCTGATGATGTTCATCTGAGTGCCGAAATTATTCCACTGTTAACTTGAGTGAGTGTGCTGGTTTTGGCTGGAGTAGAGTTTTCTTCATAGTAGTTAGTGTGGGGCTGTGTTTTGGATTTGTGCTGGAAATGCAGAGATGCTTTTGTTATTGCTGAGCAGTGCTTACAGAGAGTCCAGGCCTCTTCTGCTTCACACACCACCTCACCTGTGAGTTGTCTGGGGGCACACGAGAAGCTGGGAGGGAATGCAGCTGGGATAGCTGACCAAAAGATATTCCAGATCCCATCACATCATGCTCAGCAATAAAAGCTGGGGAAAGAAGGAGAAAGAGGGGATGTTCACAGTTATGTCATTTGTCTTCCCAAATAAATATTACAGGTGATGGAACCTGCTTTCCTGGAGATGGCTGAACACCTGCCTGCCAATGTGAAGTAGTGAATGAGTTCCTTGTTTTGCTTTGCTTGTGTGCAGCTTTTGCTTTACCTATTAAACTGTCTTTATCTCAACTCACTATTTTTTTCACTTTTATCCTGATTCTCTTCCCCCATCCCGCTGAGGGGAGAAGTGAGTGGCTGGGTGGCACTTAGATGCGAGAAGGAGTTAAACCACAACAGCGAGTTAATTTAAATGAGGTTTAGACCCAAGAATGGGTGTTTTCACATATTAAAGGTACCTAACAGTGGTACCAAATTAGCCCTTCCAGCCTGTGGGGCAAAAAATGCTTCTATTCTGAGCCTCGAGTTCCTGGATAGTAACAAGAACTGGAGAATGGAAGGGAAATAAAAGTTGACTCAGACAAACCTCTGTTGCTTCAGACCCAGGGAAGATTTTTGAGCTGTGATTGTGGTTTGGGTTGAAGCTTTTTAATTGCAATGCAAGGAAAATATTTGTGTTTGTTTTTTTCTTGTTCTTTCCTTGCTGAAAACCAGTCTGACCTGTTTTGCTTGTGTTAGTGTGTCAAAAGCAAGCCGATTGCAACAGGTGGAAAAAAAAAAACCCTTTTCAGAGCAGGGAGGGAACTCAAAGCCACTTTAGACAATGGCACTCAGTTCTAAAAGTTTAACAGGAATTTGTCGAAACTGGTTTCAGCATCACATCACCATGGGGTGTGTGCATGGGGTGGGAGCTGGTGCCCAGAATTGCTCTGATTCCATGTACGCCCCTTAATTTAGCATTAAAACATAAAGACACCTTCCTGTTTGGGTCTGTTTAAAAAGACAGACCTTTGCAGTCATACCCTGGGCCCTGGGATGTGATGTCTCTGTCCACCTTCTGCACCCAGGTGTGCCCAGCACCTCTGCTCCAAGCAGTGCTGTCTGTCCTGTCATGTCTGTATGTCTATGCCTTGTGGCCATCACGTTTGCAGTCTATGTCTTGGCAGGGCTTCCATTTCTCCTCTCCAGTTCTCTCTGCCTTGATTTGCCCTTTGCTTCTCCCTTCCCTGCCTCGCACCAGTTTACACCAGTCTGCACTAGTTCACCTGCTTGACCCTTTCCTTCTGGCTGCACCTAGTATGCTGAGATACATTCTCCCTCAGCTTTAGCGTAACTTTGCTGTAAACCAGCACTGGAAAAAATCAGCTGGGTGCTGCTGGCATGGGAGTGCTCGTCAGCACCAGTGCAGCTGGCAAGTGGGCTGAAACAAGGTTGTGGACATGGCATTTGGGAGGGAGGCCCTGCAGCCTCAAGTCTTTGCCTGGAGAGGGATGGGCAGAGAGAAGCGTCACCACAGGGTTTAGAGCATCCAAATGAACCGAAACAAAGCAGTGCTGCAACTTTGAAACATTCCCCGTATGATCCTAACTTCAATCCCATGCAACTGAACACCTTGCAGGTGAACGAGTGTCCCTGTGTGGCATGGGGCTGCTGGGCCCCAGCATAGGAAAGAAGAAAAAAAGATAAAAAGAAAAAAGCACCCTGAGGTCTCAGTTGCCCATTGTGTCCAGCCTTCCTATTATCTCAATACAGCCATGACGTCTCCAGATTCCCCCAGACTGGCACCTCGTCTTCAACAGCATCCTCCTCATGCCTCTTAGTTCAATCTCTCCATCCCCAGGATTCCCTTGCAGATGTAGCTAGATGGAGCACCTCATTTAAAAAGCCACGTATCAGCCCTTTTTTTCAGAGTGCTTACAAGTCCTATTCACACAGTTAAAAACAGTGGGGCTATTGCATCCCCACACCCACAACTTGTACTGTAACTGGAGTTTCCACCTCTGCTATTCTCTTCAAGCGTCCTCAGCAGGTTTTCCTTCAGGTGGTCAGCAGTTACCTACTCTAGAGAGCAATTAGACTTTAGCTAAAAGAAACTGTCCACTTGAAGGTAGGCGAAACGTCAGCTCCTGTGATAAAAACAAGATTACAGACATATCATTAACTATGCCCAGATTATAATCTTAATTGCTCTTGTTTAATTAAATAAACCACAATGTTAGCTGTTCCCCAACTATATGTGTATTGGATACCTTGCCTCCAGTGGTGTAAGGAGTTAGAAGCACTTCCATCTTCTTCTGAATTGCAGTACTTGCTTTGTTTGAAGGCAAAGAAACTTGATAAAAATGTATGGCCAGCTCAATGGAAAATGCAGGAGTTTCTGATTCTCATTTTAGTCAGCTTTGTCTGTGAGGGACGAGCAAACTGTATGCTGGGTAAAACATCTATACAAGCATCTACAATATGAAAAATCTTGTGAAAATGGGAAACCCACAAAAGATCACTTCTATGAAGGGATCAAAGCTCCATGTGGGTCTGTGGCAGCGTTGGATTCATGGCTGGATCGGTCTGCCTTTCTCCTTTCCTGACCCACCTCTGATCTTTGCACCAAGACCACAGCCCCCTCCTGCTCTTTATGATCTCCCTTATGCTGGCAGAATCAAGCACTGAAACCCCATTTGCTTTGAGGGCTGGAAAAACCTTATTACTGATTCATGGAAGTGTTTAAACATGAATTATTGAACTGTGGGTAGGACAAGAGCCCTGAACCTTCTTCAGAAAGCAGAGGCAAGGCAGAGGAGTCCTCAACACCCGCATTGGAGCAGATACAGTGTAAGTAGAGTGCAGACCTTGGGGAAAGAAGGAGATTTGTGGTTACTGCATTATTTTAAGTTCTGAAAAGGCAAATGACATTCACCCTACCACTTCCGTACCTTGCAGTTCCTCATTTCCACTATCACACAAGGTGGACCTGCAATCCACACAATCCTTGTGCGGATTCTCTTGGAGGCATCAGCTATAAATCAGACACTTCCCTGTCCTTTGGCTGATGGAGAAAAGTCCCACTGAGAACAATGCGTTGTTTTACCCTGTATTAGCAGTGACAACAGAAATTACCGAGTGACCAAGAAAGGTTCAATGGAGATGAGTCTTGTTTGCAGACTCACAAAAGACAGACTAGGACCCTTGTGCCAAGTGATGGCCTATGCACCTCATGAGCTGGGAAAACACGGTGTGAGATCCAAGTTTGGGTTGCACAAGGAAAACATTCAGGCCCAGGACAGCTGGGGAGAGGTGGACTTTACAATCTGCTCTGCATTGGTTGCTGCTAGCTAAGGACCTGTCCATACAGCTTGTCTTTCTGCAGCCCTTCCCAAGGTCAAACAAGGGCCTGCCCAATTCTGCCATCTCATCCCGCTACACGGATGGAGCATTGTCCAAGACCTTGATGTCACCCACGTCCTCAATTTTGGTGCGGCAGAGGCCTTGTATGACCTCCTGTAGCACCATCGCTATTCTTGGGCTAGAATATGGGGGGCTTCTCCATATGTAACGGGCAAGGAAAGGCAAGAACAGAGTGCAAGGATCAGCAGGACATCTCCAAGTGTGCATGCAATCACCTGCTACTGACATGCACCTTATTGCCGATTCTAAGAAGAGAGAAAATACTGGCATGATCCACCTGCTCACTGCAACGCAGGGAAGCAAATGACAAACAGCTGATCCAGCTGGTCACTTTAGGCTCACTCTATGACCCAAGCTGAGGCTGTTCTGGGTCAGTGGCAAAGCCAGCTCTCTCCAGCTCACTGTTTCTGCAAGGACAGAGGCAAACTGAAGGTTATATAAAAGCAGCAAGATTTGATTTCTTTAGCCCAGGTTTATTAATTCTTGGTTTTGCTTAACAGTAAGATGCAAGCTAAATGTAAGCACGCATTCTCGACCAGCAGTTTGACATGCTGCTTACAAGAAAGTTTGCAAACTGAACACTTTGCAATCCTATTGCAGGTGAATTTAGACTGAGCTGGCAAACAGGAGTAAAAGCTTTCAGCCAACTGCTCAGCAGGCGTGGCCTCTGAATTAGAATTTTCATTACCAAAGTAACTCAAATTCACTATGCCTGTTTGCATATACATGACTGCTGTCTTTAGAAACCAGCACTGAAATCAATGCAAATCATTGCTCCTAAATGTCTTTAACATAAAAACTTAAAATGTAAATTCCAAGGCTGGTCTTGAAGTATTTCTAAAGTATTTTCTCCTGTACTAACAAAACAGGTGGTATAAGCATCTTTTGGCATACAGTGAAATGCTATGGAAAGCACTCACAGACTGGGAGGCACAGAACTTAACTCCTGACTTGTTTTATAGCCTGGATTGCTCTAACACTGCGATAAAACATTGCTTGGGTTCGGTTCTACTATTTCTTTTGCCATGCCCAAGACAAAAACAAGGAGTTGCCAGGTAGAGCACTGTGTCATATCATATGGATGCAGAGTCTGTTTACCTTCTGGTGGGACTTGTGTGATGGATCCACTCCAACCAGCAAGCTAATCTAGCATCCAGCATGTACCTCAGTTGGAGATCTGCTGCATGAAATGGGTTTCTCTCTGCTCAGAGGCTAGGGTGTATCATGGACTTACTCTTTCTCCTTTAATCCTTCAACAGCTGTAGCACTTTCTGGGTTCTGGGTAGGGTCGAAGACTACTGTGCTCAGTATCAGATTGAGAGAAAATGAAGTTAGGCCTTATCCCAGCACATGTGCAGAGGAGAGTACCGTAAGAAAGGCTGGATTGCAGGTTTTGGACTGGCCTTCCAATGCCAGTCAAAATATTGCAGTATCCCATAGGAGACTGTGGGGTGGCTGTCCTCAGCTTCATTTGGGGAACTCCCTCCTCTCTTCATACAAGACTAGTGTTTGCACAGTGATCACCTTGCCCCTCTTCCCCTCCCACCAGAAGACACTCAACTTTACTTCCTGATTTCACAGTTCCCCCACCATAATGAGTGAGCCCAGGGAGTGAGATGGAGAGTGCACACATTAATTCCCCCTACTGCTGCTTGCTTCAAGATCTCCCAGACATTGGCATTTTGTAAAAAAGACTCAAACTCACAGTGAACTCATTCTGAGGATCCTTTATTGCTTTCACAATTTTATCTTTCCAGTAGTTTCCCAAAAGCTCGTGAAAGAAACATGAGATCTGTTGATTAAACATCACCTTCAGGAATCAAGTAAACGTATGCTTGAAGACAAAGTCATGTTCACTGGCTGTTTCCATCTGAATGTCCCTACTCGAACAGCGGTCAGAAGAATTGTGGGAAAGCAAACAGTGTTACTGAATGGTAGCAATGGCAGCAGCAGTATGAATGGCATGGGAGAGCTACTGGTGCCCTACTCTGAAACTTAAGCCTAGACAACCCATCCATTTGGGCTGGGCTTTCCCAGTTGCATCTCTGAAACAGAGGGACTGAAGCTTTTAGCATGCTGCCCGTCTGACATTTACCCAGGGAGATTTCTTCATTCCTTGAGCTTCTTTCACATCGTTCCAGTCCAGCTTTGTGTCTGGAACCTCATCTTCAGGCTCGGGATCCTCACGGACAGGTCCCTCAGGCAGTGCCACAACGATGGGCAGAGGGCCCTGCTCCTCCCGAAACTCCACTACACATAGATTCTTCTGGTTCGCTAACTGCTGGTGAGTCTCCTGGGAGTCAGAAGGAGAAAAGACAATCAAAGCAATGATGCACAATGTTGGTTTACTTCAGGTCAAACTCTGCATGGCATTGGAGTAGGGAAAAAAAAGTAATTTACTAATAAATAGTTTAAACTGTGTAATTTAAATTACTCAGGCTTACCTCCAAGGGTTTCAAATGAGCTAATAATGCTGCATAAGCAGCAGACGGTAGATATACTAGCATTACAATGTCATCCTAGAGGAACTTGCTTCTGGAAAGTATCTGGACAGAAAAGGCTTATCCTGCTAATAAGGATGCACGTTGGCATGTTAATAATATGCAGTAACATTTTTATGACTTTATATGGATACAAATTTTGCTTCGACAACAGTAAAGTTTTCATTACTGCCCTGACTGGTAATATTAGCCAATACAATCATATGAATTCAACATTAGTTTCAACTATACCTCTTATTCACATGCAAGCTGTTTTCTTAACACTCAGAATTCACAGAATAAATGTCTATTGGGAAATTTTTCTCATTCAGGACAGTCAAGTACACATGTCTCAAAGCAATAATCTGTAAAACAGGCCTTTCCTCTGTTCTTCTATTCATCCTGTGGAAGACTTCTTGAAGACAATCCATTGACAATCTATGACAGGCTTCCTCAAGTCTGATTAACCTCTGACACTGATAAGCATCTGTAACTGTCTCATTAGGCAAAGAGGGTCATAACCCCCTCCCCTCCCAAGGCTAAACTGCGAAGGATTGGCTAGGATGGAGTGACAGATTTGACAACTATAGCTCTGCAGGGCTATATTGGGAATGTAAGCAGTTAAATCCTGTCAGCTACAAAGACTCTACCACCAAATGAGACAGCTAGGAATTTCCAAAGGCCTGACTCATCCTAAGGCTGGTGTTCGGAGGAAGTCAGATGAAATGCTGCTTGTTGGATCTTTCCACCAACTACAGACAGCTGGCTCACAGAGAGACATCCTCAATGTGAGCACTTCGCGTTTGATGAAATGATACCACCTCCGTGATTAATTTCAGAGATCTTAATTATACTAGTGGTAGAAGCAGCTGTGACATTCAGTCCTTAGGCAATGAAAACTTAGAATGCAGACAAACAAGCAGCAGCAGCCAAAGCTGGGCCACATCTTCCTCTGTCCATTTTTTCAAATGTCACCAAAAAGACTACAAATGAAAGCCCAGAAATTCAGATGTTTCCTGAAAGCACTTGGCTGTGGAAAAGACCGAGTTACATACAGCTGCTTCTGACTGGACAGCTTCACACAGCTGCTGAGGAATTATTCCGTGCCAATTTTGTTTGCTCTTTGGAAAACTACTTCGTTTTAAGCCTTGACTATAAGCTGTTTCACCACAAACTATTACAATATCAGTCCCGTTCTGTTCCCTGACCTAACGGATAGAACGACTGAGAATGCAATTTACCTGTTGTGTCAAGCCTTTAAAGAGAGCCCTGGTAATGTTAATCAAGTTTTTGGATCCAGAAACTTTGGCGTACATGTCTTTAATACCAATTAGTTTGCAGATGGTGATGATAGCTCGGTGGCAGCGAAGACCATACCCTGGGGGGGGAACGAAAAAAAAAGCATTATATGATTATTTGTAAGCATACAACTTAGCTAAGGAAAAGGAGAGAACTACAACTTATTCTTAGTTATTTTTGTTACCTAGCACGTTGGAACACATTACATTTTAAAAATGGCAAAACCATTCTGGGAAGACCATTCTGCCCAGTCTTTGTAGCCAAGCTAACATAAAGAACATGCTTTTTTTAATACTAAATATACTTTACTTAACATATTGCAAAACTAAATTAAAATGTCACCACCTAGAAACTCAAAACTATAAAAAATGCAACCTGAAAAACTGTTTAATACCACAGGTTTGGGTAGTATTCTTCAAAAATACCACTGGCAGCTTCGGAAGAACCTTTCACAATCATACCCCACCACCCTAGGAACATCCACTAAATTTCTCTCATCCAGCAGAAAATTAATACTGTAGTACTTCCCAAAACTAAAAATAATAATTAAAAAAATCAGCAGAGAAGCAAGGCAACAAGTTTATTGGCAAGGCAACAAGAGTATTAAAAAGAAGCCATTACAAGGGGAGAGGATCTAAATGTAACTGGATCCTGACCAATCACAGAATCATAGAATGGTTTGGGTTGGAAGGGACCTTTAAAGCTCATCCAGTCCGACTCCCCTGCAGTGAGCAGGGACATCTTCAGCTAAGTCAGGTTACTCAGAGCCCCATCAAGCCTGACCTTGAGGTCCCCTCATCTCCAGGGATGAGGCCTCCACCACCGCTCTGGGCAACCTGTGCCAGTGTTTCACCACCCTCATATTGAAGACCTTTTTCTTAATATCCAACCTAAATCTACCCTTTTCTAGTTTAACACCATTACCCCTCGTCCTATTACTACATGCCCTAGTGAACAGCTCTTCCTCAGATTTCTTATAGGCACCTTTAAGGTATTGGACAAAGACCATCTCTTCTAAAAAGCAATACCTACATAGCTTCAACACTGCTTCCTTTGCAACTTCAGGTGACCAACTGCTGAATGACAGCTTCAGTAACTCCTAATAATGGTAAATCTGACTTTAAAGTCCTGGTTCACATACATGATGGAAGGATCTAAACTGGTCTCCTGTGATGAAATTACTGCTCAAAACAACTGGTGTGCCCAGGCACTGTTGTCCCTTGGGCTTCCTTCCAGAAGGACCCTGCAGGAGAAGCAATGTCAATGTCTCTCATTTCCAGGGAGACGATTACAGTGCCTTCCCAAAGCCTAGGACAGAGCTGCTGGGGAAAAGGGTGAGTGGCCACGGGCACTCCTGTCTCTTGCTGCTCAGAGGTCTTTGGGCAGCCAAATAAAACCTACCACTTTCTCATTTTATTCAGTGTTTGGTAAGTAAAGCTTTGAGCAGTCAAAGTGAGACTGAAGCTGCCTGCAAATTGAGGGAGGCATCGTTACACCCACTTGTGCCAAATTCACGCTTTGCACTTGATCTCCAAAATGTGAGCCTGTTACTTGTCTCCTCACTCAGCAACAGCAACTCACCAGCTTCACAGTCTATGTAAAATACAGCAGCCACCAGCCATGGGTTATGTTTTTCCCCTTTAGGTTACAAAAGCTACCAGATCAAGATGCACTTTCAAGAGAGTAAAAGTGCAGATTATCAAGGTACTGTGCAGAGACATAATTTCCTTTATCCTGGTCCAGCAACTGACGTGAATTACACTGTTATTACATTAGTAGTTCAACATGAAGGACAGAGAATGGAAATAAAGCAGGTAACACACTCCTCGGAGCAAAAACTACATTGGAATAACAGCAGATTACTCTCTGTATTTCTAGAAAAAGCAATTATTTTAATCAAGTATAAAGAATAAGTGAGTGTTGCGGCACTCATTTGCTTTCAACTTACTGTTCAAAGCAATAACATCATCAAAACAAGTCTGTGTCTGTGGAAACCACAGGCCAAATTACAAAAGCCTGTAACTCTAACAACTTGAAATTTGTAGGTGAGTGGTGACGAGAGACAAACATATTTCAAAATCCACAAACAGAACAGAGGATTGCATGTGATTTGCATGCATCTCCATCACAGAGTGTAACATTAGCTCCAACGCATAATTATAGTACATTACTATTAATTGCAAATGGTTTCTTAGACTTGCCAGATTTTAATGAAGGAGTTATTTTTTGAAGAGTCTGTTTTGCTCTCTTGTTCCCCAGAAAGATTTGTTTCATGTAGCCTAGCTCTATTAATCTTCAAAAATTGGTTTGTGATAGTTCTAATCTATTTTACTTAAAAACTGAAAAGCCAGGTTATCGATTAGCCCACTCTGTGGGACAGTCTTGTTGCTGAATAAATGAGAAAAAAAAAATCTATTCCAGTGCTGCAAGTTTTATTGTGCCAAGATGTCCCTTTTTCTTTAAACCTATAATTGGAAAAGAAACTATAACCATCCAAAGCCATTTGTTCTGCCATTTGAGAAAATAGTTTCCTATGCCACAAGACAAGTTTTAGACACAATTACATGTGAATGACCTCTGAAAGGCTGTTTGTCAAAGTTTCATTTTCAGAGACTTAAAGCATTTAATTTCTGGTGATTTTACTGTTGCTTTTGTCCCATCTTATCTCAATCAAGTCTCTGCAGATTGTTAACACATGAAACTCAGAAGCTGGCAAACTACTCCATCTGTCACTGAGCAAATTTTATTCCAAACATAAAAGCAAAGGATTCCAGCTGCAAACTCCAGCTGTGGAGAAAAAGTTGTGCTCACACATTTTTAACCTGTCTGTGGCACTCACCCTGTCTTGCTGTGCTTACATTCAATGGGATATCTTAGGGATATGGTTTAGGGGGTAGACAGGAGCGGTTGGACGTGATGATCTCGGAGGTCTTTTCCAACCGAGCGATTCTGTGATTCTGTGATTCTGTGTGAATGATGCCTACATAAGGGAACAGGGCCACTTGAATTTAACCAACTTTCTCACACTGAAAAAGATTCAAAGGTACTCAAAAGAAGTATTTAAAGTGTATTCTTCCTGTAAATTAACACAATCTGTTATAGGCAATCTACATTATATTTTCTGAGTAGCCACCAACAAGAGTTTGCAAACAGAACATCCACTTTAAATCCACACTAAGAGACTACCCCAAGATAAGTTTACATTCAGATGTTCACATTACATTACTTTTTAAACTTAGATTTTCACTTGTCTAGTATGTAATCCTGACTATACGATGGGGTTTTTCTCCACTTTGCAGGGATTATGAATAAATTCAAGAAAGGAACATTTAAGTATAACAGTGATTTTACCTTTTCTACTAAAATATTAGGTTTTGTTGCAATCATTTGTTGGGATAGCTGTCTGAGTCCTATGTACACAACTGGAAATAAACTGCCAGCTGTAATTCTGCAAAGTGAGAGGCTTCAGCATACATAACCATACAGCTGTAATGCTGCAGTGAGCTGAAAACCAGAAACTGACTCAGCAGATGAATGCCAAGTGAAGTTTTTATTTTCTACCTCAGCTTTTATAGCTACAGAGAAGGACTCCACTATGCAGCCAATCAGATGTTTACATACTACAGCACACTTTCCCATCCATCATTTCCCATACTTTATGGCCAGGTGTTCCAAGACCGAGATATCCTGCCACACACCACGCATACCTTTCAACCAGTGTTCTGGTCTAGATAACCCAGGCACACAGTGCTTTGTGTAGTTTTGAACTCCCATTTTTAGGCTGGTCCAAGGTCCTATTATACTTAATAGTCAACATAGTTTAATCTTTTAAAAATTGCCTTTGGATAAATCCCAGCTGCTATTTGTTCTCTTAATAATATTCTCATGGGAATCCCAGCTTCTGCAGTGCCTTGGTTTGCAGCCTGTTGATGTTTGTCTGCATCATGCCATCAGCAAACAGAAGGAATCTTCTATACTTCAAGTGAAGACAGCCTATGTATGCCATGGTCTAATGTGAAAACTATGAAAACCCAATTTCTTACACCTATTAATTACAGCTACAGAGTATCAGTGCTGGGCTTCACAGCCATGTAAGTGTATTTGACAAACTGTTCTGCATTTCCCCTTATTAATTCACATTAGGAACTAATTTACACTATCTAGAGATGTATCAATGTGGCTAGCACAGTAATCTCATGACTACTTTAATTGTAAAATCAAGTCAGAGATGAGGATTAAGAGCTGTCCACACTCCGAAAGGCAGCATATTCTGCAGCACAGATAAGCAACATCCCTGGTAGTTTCCAGCCAGCCTGCATGTACTAGAAACTGGAGGGATCTGGAGTGGTGGTGACTGACATGAAGTCCAGAGCCTGTCTCAAGTTCAATCTTCTTCTGTAGTATCTCCACAAGTCATTTAATTGTTCTAAAATTACAGCCAGCTCCCACTGCTGCTATGAACACTTCCCTTAGAGTGTAACACAAAAGCCTGTCAAGAACTAAGGTAACATCAGGCCTTACCTATACCATCCCTAAAAACTCCATTCTGCATAGACATATAATGTTACAGCTCGTTGTCAGGTCACAAGCACATAATGATGTCTATCTCTCTCTTTCTCACACACACACACATACAATTCCCCTACAAAGTTTTGCACAGTGATCTATCATTACTTAATAAGGCCATTGATGACTGCCGTCCAGAGCACATAGGACATAAGCACAATTTTTTCCTTAGACAATACCAAACCTGTTTCAGGAAATGCATAATCTATTTCCACCAGTTATAAAACAGGGAAAATATTAATTGGAGAAGTGTTTCTGGGGTTTTGGAGGGTACTTTCATATATGTGGATGTGCTATCTAACTGAAAAGCTAACAAGATACTCAGACAAGGCAAAGCACTGGCCAAAACTGGCAGCAAGAAGCTACCAAGGCTAAGGTGCTATTGTGACAGAACTGGACTTGTCTTCTGACACAGTTCGGCATGATACTCTCACAAACAAACTAGGGAAATAATAACCAGACAAAATCACCATTAAAGTGTCTCCCCATTAACAGCAGTCTGCTGTCAAGACAAGAGCATTTTCCAGATAGGATCCTGTTGTAGATTTGTTATGGCTTTAATATCTGCAAGTATCTTCATTAACAACTTGGATGGGAGAACAGAGACTGTAAAAATAGGTTGAGGATATCATCTTGGCTGCAAGCACAGTGGAGGTTAACAGAAGTCAATGCAGGTCTGACAAACTGGAGACAGAATTTAAAACCAACACACTGAAATTCAACACAGAGGTGGAGTGCTTTGCTGACAAATCAAAAGCACAAGTACAAAACAGAGGAGACTGGCTAAACAGCAACACAAGAAGGATCTGGGGATTATAATGGACCATAAAAAAGATCAACATAATTATTCTGGTGCAGCACATTTGAAGCCTAGAATGAAATACACCCTATAGATGTATTGCCAAGCATCATAAACATCATCAATCAATGATGCTCCTATGTGGTAAATGTTGCTCAATGGTGTTAACAGCTTTAAGAGGCCTAGACCCCACCTGCAGTGTGGACACAGGCAGAGTCCAGTAGAATAGCAAGTGCAACCTCTGGGGAAGGTGAAGAATGGAGGTGAGCGACTTTTGGCACCAAGAGGAGGGCTTCAGCTCCACCTAAAGGTGTGCCACTATGAAACAGGTTCACTGCCCTCAAGGCTGAGGAGGAGCCTGATGTGCTTTCAAGCAAAGCATCTGGACCAACTGACCTTGAACGATGCGAGAGTACTGGGAGCAAGCAGTGATTAATAGCAATGGGCAACTCCCTGCTGTGGGGAAGAGATACTCATCTCCTGACCTGACCTGTCATCTAGAGAAGTTTGCTGCTTGCTAAGGGCCTGGACCCCAGATGTTGTGGAGAGATTTCTGAAACCTGTCCCACTCTTTATTACTGCTTCCTCTTCTTCCATGAGGGCGCCAATGGTACTGCCAGGAGCAAGCTGGAGAGTATGAAAAGCAACTACAGAGCTCTGGGGGCAACAGTCAGGGGCATGGGGGCCCAGGCAGCGCTCTCCTCAACCCTGCCGAGAAAGAGAAAGTACATAAGAAGAAAAGCACGGATAATGCAGGTCAACAACTGGTTGTGGAGGTGGTGTCAGCAAGAGGGTTTTGGGCTCCTACAACAAAGGGACCTTGTTAGAGGATCAGTGTGTGCTTGGGAGAGATGGAATCTACCTTGCTAAGTGGGACAAATCTTTGCCAGTAGGATGGCTGACCTGGTGAGGACAGCTTTAAACTAGGAATGGCAGCGGAGGGACAGAGATAGCAGCAGCCCTGGGCACCAGTGGCTGGGCTTCAGTGGCTGGGCAGGTTTGTGGGCTGAAGCGGCTGGAGAAGACAACTACACATCTAACATCACTTAACAGTAACTTTGTGGAAGAACAGACCTCTGAGCTGAGGGCTACCAGGCATGGACTCGCTACTACTCACATTTAACTGACATGAGCCTGAAGCAGCATTTGCCTGTACTACAACTGGGATCAAAGTGAAGAACAGCTTGCTACTGTGTAATAAGGAGATGGTCTTTGTGCTGGTACAGTGCACAACAAGAAGACAGGGTGGATAATCCCTCTATTTTCCACACTGGGAGCTCTTAATTTTAGGGAAAACAAAACACTAATGGTCTCAAGGAAGTAGCAGGCTGGATGCTGTCCTGGCTCCAGTTTATGACCACAGGTAGTCCGAGGCAGCTGAGGGAGGATAGCTGCCCATGGTAGCCCACTACGTGTTTAGGAGGGACAGGCACACAGATGTGGCTTGCACCCTGATTCCCATTTGAACCACTCCCACAACTGTATATTAAACTACCTCTGAATCTTGTCTTGAAAACAGCGATTAAAAAAATCACTGAAAAATAATGGAAAGAGCCTATCATTTTTCCAAAGTATGCATGGGGCATATGGTAGAAAGAAAAACCTGCAGGGTTCTTCTAAAGGCCTTTCCCTTCAACATCTAAGCTATCAGATTAGACTTCTTCACATCTAGGTAATTCAGAGCAGAAGGAACTACACTTAGGAAGCATGAAAGAAAACTAGGAAGAGAGCTCCCACCAGTGTGAGAGGGTCAAATCCCAATTTTCAATAACAAAGCCATGTCATCATCAGTAGTAGGTACTTTAAATGAAAAATAATTTATCATCTTCAACATTTAAAACATAATAGACTAGCACCAAATGATCTGTTTCGGAAGTAAACAGACATTGCACAAATATAACAAATAAATACCAGTCAGTAATTAATAAAGCTTCAAAATTTCCACATAGCTTTAATTACCTTTGTTTTGCTTCTTCATGCGGATGTTTGTGGTTTTAAATCTCACTGCAATGTCATGGTAAACTGGAAGGGAGAAAAAAAAAGACATTACAGCTAAATTATTCCTTCTTGAAAAGCTTTAGCTCTGCACATTTAAGGAGTACTTTTCTTTTTCAGAACTGAGAATGGGAAATTGGTTTTACTCTCCTGTAAGGTCTTTAAAGAGAAGGGTTAATTTAGGTAAATTTCTGGAATAGATTAGGAATGTTTACACATCTGTGAATACCACCTTACTATTGTATACAATACCAAGCTTGTATTCACTTGAAAAATGTGAAGTGTCTGTATGCCTCCAATGATCCTTGTTTAGCTGTGAAGTGAGCTCACATGATACATTTAACCGTCTTCCTCATACTCAGATTTTTCTAGTAGTTCAACTCTTAACCTAAGATTTCCCCATAGGCTTCAGCATTCTTGGATTTTTCATGCAGAATATTTACCATTCCAGTCCTCCTGCTTCTCTCTGCTGTTCAAGAGGAACCCCAAACTCATATCCTCTGGTGAGTAGCTGTTACATACATCTGAATCAGTGGCTCAGTCTCTGCATGGTATATTCTAGCACTGCAGTCAAGATGGCTCAAAGAGTACCTCTATGTGAAGCAGAATGGAAAGCACGGTGGAAACACCACAACTTTTAATCATATCCCCAGTCTGTTAGTATGAAATAATAATGCTCAAGGAATAGACTCATAATAACTGCAGGTTTGTATTTGTAAGCTGAATTTTTATTATACTGAATATTTTATCTACACAATGACTTGGTTAAATATTCATACACCCTGTAAGGTACTATCTTTGAAAATTTTTCTGAAAGATAACTGAATGTCTGGTATACTGGTACCACATTTGACATCAGAGAGGACTTGTATGGTGTTAAGTTGAATTAACAGAAAGCTACCATGAAACATCAGCCTGACATCTCCAGCCAATGTTCTCACCAGCTGCTGGGCTTTGTCAGCATACAAGGACTGAGTCAACAGGGAATCATCTCTCACATACAAAGGGGAAAAGCACAGAGGAGGTCACTGTAGAGAAGAGATACCCAGGAAGTATCTGACTTCTTTAACTCAAACTGTGCCAGCAGAGGTCTAATCTTACTACTACCCTCTCATCTCCCCCTCATTTTTAAAGAGCCTTAAATACTATGCATTAAGTATCCAAATTTTAAAAAGGGCAAAGGCAAGGGACTAGAAGGGAGATAAATCTCTCAATATTTTAATGAAAACATCTTGTATTATGTAATTTTAACTTTTCTTCATGGACCTTCCTACAACTGTTGATACAAACCTGAGTGAAAGTAAAGAGTAAACTACATGTTCATTCCAAGTAATGATGATTTTACACGGAGTCTGACAGAAGATGTACTCTGACATTACCACTGTCTAGCTAAAACAGTCTGGAGCCAAGATTTCATACCATGCTAAAGAAACAAAATAATGCATAAAGAATAATAATACAATGCATCAGATCTGAAAGGTTTGTTAACATCTTTCTATGCTTTGTAACTAGTTGCAACCAGTTCTTGTTAGTATATTCAGTACTTACTGAAAGTCAAAGAATGAGTCTAAAAAAATCATACTTACTTGTGTGATTCTGATATAGCTCGATAAAATGTAAGCAGCGTATTGCTTTATTCTTTGCCTAGAGAATAAAAACAGAAAACATTTTTTCTTGAATTTTTCTGCAAAGTATTTGAAATTTACCATTGTTCAGTTAACTAGACAATGAAAAAGCAAGCAAGAAAACTTAGGAAAACAGGTTTGCCACATCTAAACCATCCACTTTCTGGAAATGAAAATGTTCTCTTTAAAGAAGTGCTTTCTCCTAACAGAATAAATATTTAAAAGATTTCTGAATATAGTAACACCCTTATCAAACTTTGTGTATTGCTACATTGCTACTTTGATAGCTTAGTTGAGTATTACAACACAAACTAGATTAATGTAGATGAACAAGTAACATTTTGGTCTAAAGGAGCTTTAATAAAGTCATTGTGTGTGTGGAAGAGAAAAATTTCTACATACTAACTATGTAAGCAGATTGTATACTATATAGATGCTGGAAACAGGTGAGCAAGGGGGATAGGTACACATTATAGATAAAGGAGTAGAAAGAAAATAAAGAGTGCATTAACAGAATTTCATTGCAGGGCAACCTCATTATATGTGTTCAAAGAACAGCAACGAAGCTGGAGAAAGATCTAGACAAGAAGACTTCTGAGGAGCAGCTGAGAAAACTGGGATTGATTATTCTGGAGAAAAGGAGGCTGAGGGGAGACCTTACCACTCTCCACAACTACTTGAAACGAGGTTGTAGAGAGGTGGGTGTGAGTCTCTTCTCCCAAGTAACAGAATGATAACAAATGAGAGAAAACAGCCTCAAGTTGCACCAGGGCAGGTTAGATTGGATACTAAGGAAAATTTCTTCACTGAAAGGGTTATCAAGCATTAGAACAGGCTGCCCAGGGAAGTGCTAGATTCACCATCCCTGGAGCTATTTAAAAGATGGGTAGATGAGATGGTTTAGTATTGGAGTTGGCAGTGTTAGGTTAACAGTAGGACTCAATGATCTTAAAGGTCTTTTCCAACCTAAATGGTTCTATGATTATTTGTATCAAGACAAATAGATCATGTACATGAATTTACTTCCTTGCACAGAATACAAACATACAGATTAATTAAAAAAAAAGTAGGCATGAATTAGTTGTGCTTGTCATCAAGCAGCAAATAATTCAATCAACATACTTTCCGTAAAGCATTCATCCTGTCACTTGCTTTCCCCAGTGCAAAACCTGCAAGACAGAAAAGAGTCATTTTATTACTGAGAAATACATGAGGCAGGACATTCATTAAGAAAAGGGAAAAAACACAACTTCACAATCACATTTAGTACCTGTTATTTCCACTGCATTGCAGAGATCATACTCAGAAAATGGTCCAGAGAAAACCATAGAAACCATAGAAAGTAACAGTTTAAGAGTTACGAATACCTAACAATTTGAGACCAATTGTCTGTTGTCAAATGAAAACAAAGAAGGCTTAAGTTATTTCTTTTATGTATTTGTCCAGATTTGTTTTAAACAATTGAATAGTTGTGACTGCTTCAGACAAAAAAAGGGTCAAGTCTTCTGCTTAAAAATAAGGGAAGGAAGGAAGGAAAAGGAAGCTGATGCAGATATATCAACTAGGTCTGCACAAAGAGTAGTTCCAAGACCCTAGAAACAAAGGAGACTGGGTTTCTATTGGCAAAATAGAGAACATGAAAATGAGTTTTAACAGAATAGCACATTTACAAAAAACACATACCTGTAGAACAGAGAAAAACAGACTGGTTTACAAACTGCTACCTGATTCTTTCTGAACCCTCAGACCTACTCCTATTTGCCAGTTGAACTGTGGTAGTGATGAAGACATTTCAAATCAGTCTCAAGAGTATTTGCAGTCTGCTCAGAGCATGGCATCAACTAACTGTCTGGAATGAATAAGAGGATATGACAACTGTTTTTACAAACTCTGTAGTCCAACACGTCAAGGTAGATTGAATTAAAATCTTTTAACTAGAAGTCAGCAGATCTAGCTTTTTTCGGTCCTTCAATGATTCTGTTGTGTCAGCTGGGGCTGTGGGTTACCTGTATCCAAAAGTCTAATCCAAAAATCAATGGGATTCAACTCAACTGTCGAACACTGACTCACTAATTTCATGCAGACATACAGGAGAAATGGGCTGGAAGAGATCTAGGAAAGAAATACCATCCTGACTGCAAGCCTTATGAGGAGCGGCTGAGGGAACTAGGAGAAGAGAAGGCTGAGGGGAGACCTCATCACCACCTACAACTACCTAAAGGGAGGTTGTAGAGAGGTGGGTGCTGGTCTCTTCTCCCAGGTGATGGAGGATAGAACAAGGGGAAACGGCACCAAGCTGTGCCAAGGGAGGTTCAGGTTAGAGATAAGGAGGAAGTTCTTTACTGAGAGGGTCGTCAGAAGCTGGAACAGGCTGCCCAGGGAGGTGGTGGAGTCACCATCCCTGGATGTATTTAAAGAGCGAGTAGACGATGTACTTAGGGATATGGTTTAGGGGGTAGACAGGAGCGGTTGGACGTGATGATCTCAGAGGTCTTTTCCAACCGAACGATTCTGTGATTCTGTGACTGTTGTGGAGCTACAAGCAAAGAGGATATGACTGCAAGGCTGCTGTGGAAGCAGCAGTCAAGGGTAGTGTCTGCTATCAGCTACCTCTTGAGACAGCTTTCCCTGTGCGTGCACCATGCACCCAGAGGTCTCTGTCACATTCTAACTCCTGCACAAGAAAATGCAAGGAAACTGTGCTATTTTTTATAACACACTCAGAGAGCACAATAGCAGTGTATTAATGCTGGGAAGTCACACAATAGATTAGAAAATGCCAGAAATGAGGTCACAATTTCAATTCAACCATTCAGCACATATGGATTAAAGTTCTTCTGCTGAAGAACCGCACCTTCCTCTCTACATAAATATTCCTCCGCTCTAAACTGCAATTAAAATTCAGCTTGAGGAACACATCTGGACTTGAAGCTTTCACATAAATGAAGTTCTGCAAAACCGTAGTTGACTGGAAATACAGTTGTCTTATTAAAGCTCCTACACACATCCCATGATCAGAGATATCTATTCAGCTCATAATAAAAGGAGACTATTTACATCCAAAAGGTGGATGCTCTGCATATATATATTGAAAGTAGGATTTTCTTTACTAGAGTCATGAGCAACGCAAATGCAATTTCCTGTACTCTGTCACCAATACAATGCCATGTTCTGACCTCCTGACAGAGGTAGGAATCCTTTATTATTTGGATTATATTATTTGGATTATTTACTTCACAGCTGTTCACTTTCTATTTTTTTAGATCATTCTTCTTTTAATTCTGCACAGTTGTCTTATCTCTAAGTCCATCTGAGGTCTAACAGGAATTCTAATGTACATTGGTTTGTGTCCACAAGACAATGCATGAAAACTATGTCATTATGGGGAAAAACTTAGTATATTCAAGGGTGCTTCTTAAATAAAACCTATGCTGCAACAAAAAAATAGTCTTTAACTACTGGTATTTGAAAACTGAGCGAAAGATAAACACTATTTCTTCAATAACAGAACTGGAAACCTGCAAGAAACTCATTGCTGTACAGGGTGACTGCACAGTTCCTTCATGGATGCCTTTACAATTAAGTGGCATTAGCGTTCTCTTTTATAATTCTGTCTCAGAATCTGATGCATCCCAAAAGCTGGCTACCAAAAGCAAAGCACATACTGTCAAATGAATGATGCCAAATAATTTTGTAACTAACAAAGTGAAACAGAGTATCCTTAAGAGAAATTATACTTTCCTGGGAATATCTGCTAGCCTTTACATATTTTTAAAAAGACAGAGACAGTTTTGTGGGTTTTGGTTTTGGGGTTTTTAAAAATTATTTTTAAGTATTATACATTCAGTAATAACCAATATATCAAGACCTGGCGATACCATTGCACTAAATGGTATCTAATGTACTAATATGTGCTTGTCAGCCTTGTCTGGACTTGTCTGTTTTCTTTTGGTTCGCTGATTGTTGGTTTTGTTTAAATGGGACCTGCTCATTTAGAAAATCTGCAACACTAACATAGAAACTACTTCAGCCTTCTCCACATTGAGCTTCTTATCAACAGCAACAATTGATTCAAGAAGAATTTTTCTTACTGTCTTTTATTTGCATACAACCCTGCAAAAAGCTGCACTAGAGTGAATTCTTTTCTCCTCATTTTGTAAAGACCAATTTTCACCAACTCAGAGAGCCTCTGGTCAAGACTGCTGAACACTTCACTTGAAGAAAGAGTCGTCCTTACATATTGCAGCATTTTCCAAACTTCTGGGGAGAGGAACATGGCACAAGATGCCAGGTATCAGTCACCTATGTCTTTGCTGTGGGTGATCTTACTAACATATGAAGCACTACCATGATATCAGCTGGGATCCAGGGCTAGTTAACCCCGTGAGATGCTGCACTGAGATGGTTTGATTGCTTCTAGAGATAGCTTGGTCACCGCTACCCTCCAGGCCTAACTGTGCTTAGAGTTCTGTTACAAGAAAAATCACAACTAAACAATGCTTCTGTCCAGTATTTTTTCTCTGGTCTTTACTGAGAAATAAAGGAAAAAGGTCTCTTTTCAAAGCTCATATTAGAAGATCCTTCATAATCTTACATTTCTTTTGATTTGTCATATTTACGTTATGCCATAGACAGAATTTCTAAGGGTAGTTCAAGTTGCTTGCTGAAGAGACCATTACAAAGAATCATAATGGAGAAAGTCTACAAATGGGTCAAGCCGCAGACCACTGAAGTTACTATGAGACTGGACTCAAAGGGCCCTGAGTATTCTATTTTCCATAAAAGTGTAAGTACAGTATTTGTAGGAAACCCATAAAGAGGATTTTTTTTTTTTAAATGATTGACTTCAATAAAATAAGAAGGCTTCCTAAAGAGGCTGAATCAGAAGGGAAATTTAGGGTCTTCCGATTTGACAGATTGATTACAAATTTATGAATCAAGATGCTAGCTGAGACTACCAGTAAACAAGCCCTTTTTAACTGAAAGCAGTAATAGTTCCAAGGGACTCTCCTGAGACTTAGGGAGAAGAAAAAAAAAATCAGCCAAGTTTATTCTAATTCTACCTACAAATTACAGTAGCTAGACTATAACCCCGGAAAATGCACAGCCAGTCATGCTGCCCTTTGCTGCAAAGTGGTCACCACTGTTGGAGCAAACGAAAATAAAACCCCAAGAACCCCAACAACAAGAAAGTGGTTTTCAAAGCCAGAAGGACAAATCCATATCCACCGACTCCTACTTTCTTACGACTCTATCTGTTCTGCTGACCATGGAAGCCCAGACTCCTTCTAGTCCAGCACCAGCACCTCTGCAGAGCACACTCAGCTGAGGGATCTTCCACCACCAGTGCAAGGAGGCACATTTTGCGGGTGCCTGATTTTTTTATTTGACTTGAGAGCAAACAAGTACCCTCTGCAGTGAGGTGCCTAAGGCTAGGTGAAACAAATGCAGATATGCATGGCTCAATAGTTTCAGGCTTTGATTTTTGTTTTTTTAAACATCAAAAGTACCTACAGTAAAAAGAAAGTGTGTACAGGAAAGCATAGATGATCCCTTCCTTCAGTAGGATCTACCAGTGGTTAGTTATATCACTCCAGAATTAAATTTAAAGAAAAGTTTTTACCACTGGATAATACATGCTCCAAATCTAATCACATATTACTACTTTTCCCAATTTCTTCTTTTATATAAAATGAATACATACATAAGTAGATTACAAAAAAGCTTACTTTTATAGATGAAGCTAAGAATTCTTACAGGTATTTCAATATTGCCCAGTGGACAAAATGGTAAACTTTCTTTCTTTCCTTTTTTTCCCCTAAAGTATAAAAAGTCCTTTTAAATCACGTCTTCTGAAGGTCTATTACAATGATTAAATTGGCATCTTTTACATACAGTAAACACACATACCTGCAGCACCTTTACCATTTCCAATAGCCACTAAGGCACGTATTGATCTTTTTCTGCCTTCCTTTGCCTTCATACAAAACACGTTTTTCACCTGAAGAACAGAAAGCCACAAAAGATCTTATTATGGCACAGTTCAAGTGTATTTTTTTTTTAAAGAGAGTAAAGTCTACCAAAAATTAAGTAGAGGTCTGTGGTGAAACCTTACAATGTATATTGTCTTTTCCTGCAGGGGGACACTGGCTTCAAGGCATTAAATACATAAAGGCTGCTAAAAACCTATATGCAGACACAGAAGAAGCTACCTCAGTACATTTTCCTTAAAATATCTCCTCTGTTGTGTTTAGCTGCAAAACAGATAATGCTCTAATGCTGCTAGCTGCTTCTGTGATTTCAATCATGATGAAAGAATATGGAAAAAATTTGAAAGTGACATTAATAGCTCACTGACCCCCTCACATTTTAACATATTTTAGAAGCATTCTCAGGAATTGCTCAAGGCATGTTGTTGCTTTACACAGGCTAAAACTGAGATTTAAATCTACTTGCAGGCTGTAGAAGACACTCTCATTACTGAGATGACAGCTGCTAAAAAGAAGACTTCATTTAAGAGAGAGGAAAAAGAAAACAGTATTTCATCCCTGGAACTAGAAATATTTACAGAAACTCTGCAAGAAATTCCAGCAGAGATGCAAGAAAGCTATTTAGTTTGGAGTGGGGGGAATACAACAACAACTGGGGAGACAGGTGGCCTTATGGTTAGTATTCTGGAAATCTAAATTGGCTTCTGCTGCTGCTACAGATTATAGGCAGGTCACTGCTTTATATTCTCCCACCTTAAATGGTCTAATATATCTTCTGAGATCCCTTGACCATCCAGATCCTGTTCTAGTTTCCTTGGTTTTGTTTATATATTAAAATATATGTTTACTTAAATAGACACATTTTTACATATAGTTTATATATGGTATGTAATATATATATTATTTATATTTTAGATATAGTTTAATATATAGTACATACAAAAACATACAACCATATAAAATAATATATTGGATATTGCTTGACTGTGTTAACGACTGCGTTAATATCTGTGTCTCAGAATTACCAGTCAGAAGATACAATTTACTTCCTGGCTCATTTCCCTCTTCCTCTCAAATGCATTAGGGTCTACTTTCTTGAAGCCTCAATATGATTTCCATAAATTACAATAACAGTTAAATTAAACATGCATTGTTAATACATGAATTAAGCAGTGCTCCTCCTTCTCCCTATACGTAATACTTCAGTGTAGCTTTATACATCTGAAAGTAGATTATCATCAAATACTTGGTCATGCCTTAAACATTCTTACTGAAATTAATTAAAAAAAAAACCAAAACCAAAAACCCCAAAAATTCTACTGACATCATTAGGTATAGATTAGGAACAAGTGCTTCTGAAAAATTCCACCTTGCTTTCATTACAATAAAGATGCTCTTAAATTCAAGGTGCATATATATCCTACAGAGCACTTCAAAGAAGTATCAGCTTTGCTAATTGCTTATTCCAAGCTATTTTCCTTTCTGCAATCTTACTGCTTACAAAAACAAGCTAAAAAACCAAGCCCCCTAAGACGAAAGTGCCCATGGAATTAGGCTATCAACAAAAAAACCCCAAAATAATGATGAAAGAAAGGAGAATAAAGTAGAGTGATCTCTCCAGCAGCATCAAGAGCATACTATTTTTGCTTTGTGCATACTTTTGTGTCTCATTGCCAATCTGAATAAGTACTTGTAAAAAAAAAAAAAAAAAAGGAAATAAAAAGTTGGCATGCATATTGTCAAAAATTAGGGATGTGACATCCAAACATTATTCTTCTCTGTTTCCAGAAGGCGGCAGCAAAGACCCATGCAATGAGCTGCTCCAGCAGCTTTCCTAAAACTGCACTTGTCAGCTGTTTCTGAGCAGCTCTGAAGGAAAACGTGTTCAGCCACCCACCACAATCAGTGCTATTGCATCTCTCCCGAAACGCTATGAAGGCCTTCCAAGCTTGATAATGTGCACAGGCAGCCACGACTGCAGGAACAACAGCGTCCTCAGATCCTTCCACCACAGCCCCGTCCCTCCATACACCAAAGCAAGCAGTGCTCTTCTGGAGTGCGCTCAGCAAGGCCTCCCTTCCCTCTTGGAAATAAAGCATACAGCTGAAAGCCTGTCATTAAACTGCGCTGGAACTAATTAATACACAATGAACAACGCGCACTTTTAAAACGGCATGACCTCTGAAAAGTGACTGAAACGAAGACGCAATTACTCCTATTTACTAGATTGCCACTCAAGGTAGATTTAAAGCCAATTTTTAAAATCTGCACATAGATGCATGTTCAACCTTCATCACCCTAAATTGATTGTCTCCCTGTATACATTATTCAGTGGTGATAATGCAAATTCAGCTTTCTTTGGAGAGCTGAGGGAAAACAGCATCTCTCAAATACAAAATGAAACCACCTCAAACATTTCTTGAGAAAAAACAGCAAGGAACAGTTTCAAAGGTGGAGTTGAAAGTGTGGAAATAAAGCTACAGTCAGAGACAGGCTGCTAAAGGTTACTGTGAATTCAAGTACTTACCTGTTGTTGCAGTCTGTTAGAAAAAGGTAAAAACCCAACACTTTCCTAGAGGTTTTGTTCTTGTGCAAGCAGAAGGCAAAATCACGGCAAACCAACGGCAAACCAATTGCCTTTGGAAAGTCCTCCTTTCTAGAAACCATATTCTATTCATGATTTTTAGGAACCTGTCATCTCTAGGCCACACTCTTGACACCGCTATTCTTTTGGTGCTGTTATGCGTCTGCACAGGCTGATCTCCTCATGGCGTAAGGTTCACTGGTCCCAATACTTCTCTAAGGTACAAGGTGAGACAAGTTAAAATGAGAGCAGGGTGCACTGCTGAAAGAAAAGCACTTCCAGGCAAGTGAGCCTAGAGAGGCCCAGGGGCATAGCTAAAAGCCTTGGGAAGTCAGTTACACAAAATAATTGTGTAATAAACTTGTAAACAAAAATCAAGCCCATGTTAGCTACATCATGTCTGGATCAGCCTCCTCTTCTCTGTGAAAAGCACCAAGGGCAGAGCAGTTTTGTACCAGTGACAGAACATCTCCCAGTTGTAACTTAAACCTACTGTACCGTACCTAGAAATCAAAAATTGCACAAGCTAGCTGGAGGGCAGAACTAGTATTGCTGATGAGTGACAAAGGTGTCATATGGTTTCCCTAAAAGCGTGCAGTGGCACACTTGCTCTACTGACACAGCATTTGTCTAAGTGTGGCTTCATGCTACAGCTCACATCTAGTACAGATCCTTCAGATTAACCCCACAATAATGCATGCTCAAAGCCACACGACATCTGAAATGGCTTTGTTTCCCTTTCAAAGGATGAGCTATTACCATGCCAAAGTATAATTCACTTAAAAGCTTCTGAATGTTCCAAATGCCAACTGTGTCATCCATGCAGGCTGAAAGGTAAAAGATTTAATTTTGTAATCAGCAGAACCAGTTGAAGGTAACATCCCTAAACTCTACTTTAAAGGCAAATTAAAACTATTGAGAACTCCAAGAATATCAGAAATAAACTCTACTGCATAGCTCTGACCTCTCGTTCTTTCCTGTGACAGGTTGCTTCAGGTGCTATCTTGAAAACTGTCAGAAATTTTCATTCAGTCTAAAAACACTGTCAGTATCATCCAGGGAACAGAAAACTTTCCTGTAGTTCTAAAAGCAAAACTTAGAGCTCCAATACCCCAAAAGTACTTTTGAGCCAACATCTCATTTGAAGTAAATTATTACACAGAGTGTATCCTGTGTAGCGTATAATTTTTCAGTCAAGGATGTCAAACAATGGATCTCAGACACTGTAATTTCATGCAGCATCTCCTTTTCACAAGCCTTTTTTATTGCACCTTTTGCAAAAACAATAGCTAGAAAACAATTTCCAATTACTTATAAAAAGAAACAAAGGTTTTAGACTGCATACTAAAGAATAGTCTTTTTGTCACAAGTAGCAAGCTTATCAAGATTAATTCTGTGGTCTTAAAACAAGCATGTACAAGTAGTTTTTTGCTACTTTGTGGAAAATTGAAACTATGGCCTTATATTCTATTAATCCTCTCTTGCACCTACACAACTTATTTTTGTTTAGGAGATGCAGAACAAGTAACTACAGAGTGAATTACAACTTTCTTCTCCTTTCATATTCCCTACAGATAACTCTCTACAGCTGCATACACTTTTGTGGCAATACATTCAGAAATACTTAAGACAAGTTCCTTCGTATCATTTGACCCAACAAACCTTTCTTTTCCCGACTTTACCCCTGCTTTCCACATGCCAACATAAAGCTACTGTTCCTAAGGCAAGTCAATTCTCTATGCTTGGTAAAGAAATCCTAGTGATTCCTAGTGTCACCATTCCTGAACAGTCCAAGAGCAGAATGAGACTCCACATAACCAACCTTCTCTACTGCCTCACCGATATTTCCAAGGGCTGGATTCAGAGGATTAAATAAGTACATGTGACACTCAACTGCAAGAACATAAACTTTGAAATGCCTTTTCCAGCTAGGAATAGTGACTGTTTACTCCTGCTCAGATTTTGGCTAATACGCTCATGCTAAGGCCTGATGTATGCTAGGAGCTGCTTCATTAGGTTGAATTGAGGGCAACATGTAGGCAAACATGATAGTCTGGAAGGGCTAAAGATCATTATGCAGCCACTGCAACCTGCAGCTTATTGTCCCCTGCAGCCATCATTCCTGCATACTGATTGTCTGGCAGCTTCTTCAGAATCCACTAACTCATGGCAACAGTACAGACCAAACTTCCAAGCTGGATGGTACAAATACATCAGCTTACTCAAAAGATTCTGAAGGAGATCCAACAGCAGCCTGACTGCTGAGGCTTTCATGCTTCCCAGTGTGATACAAGGGATACCCGCACCATGACAGAGGAGGAAGGATGAGCTTATTGTTGGTTTGGCAACTATTTTCCTCACAGATGTGCAAGTTACAAGTTGTGAATCATGAACTAGAGAACTTTTGAGTTAGAAACCTCATTAATTAAGTGATAAACTAGTGAATTCACATG